GGAGGGGGCAGCGCCAGCCTCGCCGGAGAGGCACGCCGCCATCCACGGCAGGCGACATGCCTACGGCAGCTTCGTGTCGCGACGGCCTGGGCGCTAGTTCCTAACACCGCGGGGATCGTTCAACCTGGAAGGATCGGCCGCTTCCCAGACGTCGCCGGCGGCGTTCTCAACGTTGACGCCATCGGCGGGGTCGCCGCCAGTCGACACGACGCGAACCTACCCTGTGCTCATGTTGCTCCCATCGTGCTTAAGGACCACATCCCAGAAATAATGTCGAGCACCCGGAATAGTGTCGAAAGAGTGTCGAAATAGTGTCGAAACAGTGTCGGGCGAGTGCCTCCCAGGGCCCGACACGTGAAAACCTTGAGTTTGGGCGTATGTTTTCTGGTGCTCGAAATTCTTTCTGGTGGCCAAAGCTAAAGTAGGTTTGAACATCATAACCCTGTGCTGGGCCAGGGCCGTCGGCCGCCGCCGTAAGGGGGTCTGGCACCACGGAGGCGAGGCACTGCAGACCTCGATCCAGATCGCACGCACGGCGCGGCGCAGAACCCTCCAGTGCACACTCGCACGTGGGCCGAGACTCTGGACGCCCGAAATGGGTACGGAAAAAATGGGTGCGATGCCCAACAACAAATGTTGTCAAACCAACAGCGGCCGCTGTTGGGCAGGCGGCCTTCTGCCTCAGATGGACACAGGCCGCGGCGGCGCGGACAGCGAGTCCTGTTCAAAATGAACAGGAACTGCTGTTGGGCATCGTACCCATTCTTGCCGTGCCCGTCTCGTTCGTGCAGAGAGACGAGCGCCCCGGCGCCCGAAAGGCGGCTGGGGGAGGCTGAAGAGGTGGGGAAACCAAAAGGTACCGATGCCGCTACCCCCCGGACCTCTCACAGGGTGCGTTCTGACCAGAACTTCGAAGCGAATCCAGCGGTGGAGACGAGCGCCTCACGGGAGGCCCAGGAAGGGGGAAACGAGTGACAGGTAGCGGTATGGGTACCTCCTCCTCCTCTGAAGAGGGGAGGGGGCGGAGGCGAAGCGCGCAGCCGCGCGTCGGGAGCGGCCAAGAGGGGGGTGTCCAAGAGGGGGGGGTGCTAATCATGACCGGCGGCATGTGCGCGGTCCAGCGGGGGGGCCAGAAACGTAATGAACTAAGGAGAGGCGCCATGAAGTCTGGGGAAATATCGTGGCCCCCGCCATGATATCCCCCCCCTCCCTAGTCATCACCCCCCTCTTTGCCGCCCCCGAACGCGGGGAGGCGCCAAGAAAGGGCAGAGGCCGGGAACGGGGGGCCGCGGTGGGCCCCCGCAAGCGGCCCTGGCGAGGGGGGGAATGGCAGCAGGGCGCCCCAGAGCGGAGTGGGGGAGGGCGCGGAGAGAGGGAGGAGACGGGCGGGAGCAGGAAGAGGGCGTGGACGAGGAGCGGGAAGGGGGGAGAGGGCGTGAGGAGGAGGAGGGGGGGGGGGATGAGGAGCGGGGGGGGGACGAGGTCAAGGAGGGGCACGGGAAGAAGGAGGACCGGAGCAAACCGAGGAGGCATCAACGCTGCTGAAGTACACACTCCCATCCAGAGCCCCCTCCCCACAAGTCCCCGCAATTTGTTGTTTTCGTTACGGGAAGCGCCTCCTTGCACGACGAGCGCCCGATAGGCCTGCCATTCAGGCAGGAGCTCCGTTTTTGAAAAGGAGCTGTATTGCATGCTTCTGGCAAAGAAATGAGGAGGAGACCGACGACCATAGAATTTGACGAAATGTCCAGCGATAGGGGAAGGAAAGACCCGTCCCCTATGCCTGCAAGTGCTGATCAAGCTGAGAAGGGTATCCAAGCGAGAACCCTACTATGAAAGCGAACCACCCTCCGTCTGTTTAGCTGCTAGATATACTCTGGCCCATAGACTTTGACTTAGAGGACAACATATAAGCAGGAGCGCCACTTTGAAAAGGAGACGCCCTCCATCCTTGTAGCTGCTGCAAGCTGATAAAACGAATGTGCGCTGCACTGGGGCAAGGTCCGCCCTTTGAATGAAAACGAGACGCCCTCTATCCTTGAAGCAGCTGCAGATGTTTAAGACGGATGTGCCCGGCATTAAGGCAAGCACCATACACTGACAACGAACAGACCTCAATCCTTGAAGCTATAAAAACCCAGCGCCGACGTTGCCAGTTCCACTCGTCTCGGCCAGGCCACGGAGATATGTGATGCGTTCCAATCAGGTCAGACGAGCACGGCCAGGCGGAAGCACGGGGAGAGGACGACGAGCGAACACATCCATTGGCTCCCCCTCCCCATTCAAACCCCCTCCCTCATGAAGGACCCCTCCTCGCTGCACCACGAGACGTGCCAGTCGGGCGGGCTGGGCAATTCGACCGAGACCTCCTGACAAGTGGGAGTATGGCGCCGTGAAGACTTCCTCCACGGACGAACCCGCCCATGCCCTCGTGCACGAAGGGAGGAGGAGGACGAGGAGGAGGAGGAGGAGGAGGATGAGGAGGAGGAGGAGGAGGAGGAGGACGCTCGCTAAACGAGGTCCTAAAACTCAATTCCGCGCCCGCGGGCGGCGCAGAAATGACGTCGGCGGGTGTCTGGGCCTACCGCCAGACACCTGCTGGTTTCCGTGGGCATGCCCGCGAAGTTGCCCTGCTCACCCGGCCAGACGCACCACTGGCATTCTGGATGCTTCGCGATGCTTGGACGACGGTGGACGATGTGAATGGGTGGCCCCTTTCAAGAATGCGTCTTTACCTGGAGCCCGAACTAAAGCACCACTGGAAAGCACAACGCGAACATCTCGCGCAAAGATTCTAGTATCGCGCATGTCCTGGACGAACCCCTGCACTCCGCTTCAACGCTGAGGCGCTGATCTGAACGTAAGGCGCGAGGTCATACCTGGCGCCCCCGGGGGCACCTCGGCCAAGGGGCACCTATAGCAGCACCCGATCAGTTGCACGGATGGCGGTGGGTTTCAGCCTGGGGCTATCGCGAAGGCGCCGTGCACGCGTACGATACCAGCTTGTGGCATCTTCACCAAAAGAGGATGGTACCTTTGCAAAACGGGGCTCTCACATGATACAGTCGGGCTGCTGAAAGAAGAAGCGATAAACAAGGAACGAAGCCCCTTTCTGGCCCCACAAGCGCCTGCGTGCACGAGGAAGGCTAGAGGAAAAGCCATAGAAGGACCTGAGGAATATCGAGCCCCTTACCCAAACTGTTCCTTATTTCAGCGACTTGGCTGTACGTCCTCCAATCGTGCAGGCAGGACTCTACGCGGGTCAAGCGGCTCAGCGGATGAAGGGCGGCTCCCCTTCCAAACTCGGCCATCGCCGGAGACGTCCCGAAAATTCACGCAGGTAGTTCTACACAGGCAGCACCTGCACGGACGGAGGGTGGATATACATTACCCTGGCGAAGCAAAAACAACAACTGTATGCAGTTGTGCGTACCGGCCTTGTGAATGTTGCCTTCGGTGGATCTCCTCATGGGGCCACGAAGCGTGCGAAGGGTGTGCCGAGATGGGGCGGGGCCGCCATTCGGGTGAGGGGTGTGCCGAAAAGGGGCAGCGATGCCATGCGAACCCTCCCACTGGGGCCTCATGTGGAGCTCCCTATATGTGAGCACAAAGCGTGCGAGAGGTGTGCCGAAAAGGGGCGGCGGTGCCATGCGAACCCTCCCGCTGGGGCATTCGGTGGAGCTCCCTATGGGGCCACGAAAGAAGTAAGGGGGGTACCGAAATGGGGCGGCAGTGTCATGCTAACTCTCCCGCTGGGGCCTCAGGAGGAGCTCCCTATGGGGCCACGAAACGTGCGAGAGGGGTGCACAAATATGACGGCGGTGCCATGCGAACCCTCCCACTGGGGCCTTAGGTGGAGCTCACTGTGGAGCTGCGGAATATGTGTCTGGTGTGTCGAATTGGGGTGGCTGTGTCATGCGAACCCTGCCAAGGGGGCCTTCGGTGGAGCGCCCTATGGGGGGGGGAACGATGGGAAGGGTGTACCAACAATGGGCAGCGGTCCCGGTGCCTTGCGAACCCTCCCACTGGGGCCGCAGGTGGAACTCCATATGGGGCCACACGGCATGTGAGGAGCGTGCCGAAACAGAGACATGCGGGAGGCAGAAGCAGGGATGGGAAGAGGGAGGGAGGGGAGGGGGAAGAGGAGAGTTGGGCGACGCAGGGCGCTGTCTCTTCAAAACTTGGACCCAACACCACTTATCGCCCAACACCTCCTTTGGTTGTGTGGCCCTACTTCTTTGCTTGACTCCCAGCTGTACAGACGGAGGGCGGGCATTTGTTTCAAACAAGGCGCTCACTTGAATGGCAGGGCCCCTGGGGCGTTCGCCTTCCGAGTCAAGAAGGAATGTGTGCAAAGACCTGTGGCTCACAGATCACATGCCCCCCCTTCGCACAGGCTGTGAGAAGAAAGCGCGCGGGACGGGACGATACATCGAAGCATCGACGATGCATCGGGCGACTGCTCTGGTCCTCTACCTTCTACTCCCCGCCGCCCCCCTCCCACCCCGTCCCCTCGAAAACGTATTGGAACGGCCGAAGGCTTTTCACAACCTCCGCAGACCTGCGGGGTAACTGTTTCACGCAGCAGAACGAGATTTCAGAAAACGAGCCCGAAACTCTACTTGCATTCCTCCTCTCGCATCCCCCGTGCCGCTTCCCGAACCTCCCTGCTCGTACTCCTCCTCCTCCTCCTCCTCCTCCTCCTCCTCCTCCTCCTCCTCATCTTCATCCTCCTCCTCCTCCTCCTCCTCATCACCAGCATCCTCAGCATCGTCAGCAGCAGCATCACCATCTTCATAAACCCACATCCCTCCTCCTTCCTCCCCGTCCTTCTTCTCCTCCGCGGAGTGGCCCCGCGTGCGAAGCAGTGCGCTCTTGGCAGGAAGAGCGAGAAAGAGGAAGAGGAAAAGGAGGAAGAGAAGGAATAGGCCGTCTCTACTTCCCCTCCATTATGACTGCTCCTACATCTGCTGGAAGTAATCTGCAATTGACGCCCCCACCTCGAACAAACAATAGCCGTTGAGCTGCTCCGTGTCGGACACCTCCTGGGCAGGAGGGGGAAGAGAAGGAGAACGATAGGGATGACAAGGAATGGAGGGAGGAGGAGCAGCAACAGGAGGGAAGGCAGAGGCAGATGAGTACGACGGGGGGAGGAAGACTCCCCCTCGCTTCTCCATCCTTCCTTCGTCCTCTCTCTGCTCCTTCTCTGCCTCTCTCTCTATATATCGTTCTCTCTCTCTCTCTCTCTCTCTTTCTGTGCCTCTCTGCCGTCCCGCCGCTTGCGCTCCGCCCACCTCCGCACGCAGAGAGGTTCCTCACGCAATGTGTGTCCACGTCGGGCTCCTCACACTGCGCGCTGGTGCGGCACTGGAGGGGGCAGGAGGAGGAGGAGGAGGAGGAGGAGGAGGAGGAGGAAGAGGAGGAGGAGGAGGAGGAGGAGGAGGAGGAGGAGGAGGAGGTTTAGGAGGAGGAGGCGGGCCCGCGCCGCCCCGTGGCCGCCCGTGGGCGCCCAAAGGCCTCGGGGGATGCGTCGATCCCGCGCCGCGCCGCCGCCCGCGGGCGCCTCGTGGGCACACCCCCGCGGGCGGGAGGCACGCCGAGGCTGCACCGCGCTGCCGCCCGTGACGCGCCTCGTGGGCGGCCCACGCTTGAAGGAGCAGGAGGAGGAGGAGGAGGAGGAGGAGGACGAGGAGAAAAGGAGGAGGAGGATGAACAGGCGGATGAACAGGAGGAGGAGGAGGAGGAGGAGGAGGAGGAGGAGGAGGAACTCTCGCCTCGGACTTTCCCTTACAACTGATTCACGGGTCGCTCTCTTGGCGCTCCGAGATCGCGCTCCGGCTCGGGCCTTCCTCACAATGTGTACTCAGGGACTGCGCTCTCGCCTGCGACTTCCTTGCCATCTCCCCTCTGGCGAATCCTTCGTGCTAATCCCTCTCGCCCTCCATCTTCTCCCTCCTTCACTCCCTCATGCCCCCTTCCCTCCTCTCCCTTTCTCCACTCCCTTCCTCCTCGTTCCTTCACTCTTCCATTATTTCTGTTATTCCTGTTGCAAGGGTTGTGCCAAGTACACGTGGCAGGGAAGGAGGATAAACCTCCCAAAGGGGGCACGATCAAAGACGAGGAGGTCGGGTATCGAGGGTTTGGGAGGTACATGTTGGATGGCACGCAAGCACATGAAAGCGAACACTCTGAAAACGATTCTTGGTTGTGCACGGGAGGAGGCAATCTGAACTCAAGAGTGGCGCATAACACTGCGCAAAACAATGCAACAACGCCCCAAAAGACCAAATAACACCGCATTCGTATGCAACGGAGACGGTACGCAAAACCGTTCCGGTTACTTATGGGAAGGGGACTTGGGCCGGGAGCATGTGTTGCAGCACACTTGACGCATCAGGAATACATTCTGGTCCACACCACCCTCCTCCTCCATCCTTCTCCTCCGCCCTCATCCTGCGAAATCCCCTTCTCGTCCTCATCTTCTACGTCCCCCTCCGAAAACCTCCAGATGACATTCAGGCACCTCTCAAGACCTCCAAGGACCCCTGGGTAACTCCAGAGACCTCAAGCGACCAATGGGACTGACTAAATCTCTCGGTCAGTGTATCTGCTGGGAAAACACATCTTACTCTCAACAGGGGATGCTCTGCGGCACAGATATCTACGCTTGAATACATACATGTGTGTATGTATGTGTGTGAATGCATGCAAGCATGTACGTGTGTACGTGTGCACATGTGTACATCTGTATGTATGCACGGACAGATGTTTGTTTGTGTATATATGAAAATTCATGTGTACATGTACATGGGTGTATGTATACATGTATGTCTGTATGAAATATGTTTGTATGCATGTATGCATGCATGTATGCATGTGTATATGTGGGTATAGATGTGTGTATGCGTGTGTGTATGCATGGATGTGTATGTGTATGTATGTAGGCATATATGTACATGCGTATGCATGTACATATGTACGTATGGATGTATGTATGTATGGCTGTATGCATGTTTGTAAATGGTGTGTATGTGTGCACGAATGTATGTACTTATGTGTGCACGCATGTAAGTCTGTATGGATGGATGCATGTAGGGTTGCATGTATGTATGTGTTTTAGTGTGCATGCATGTATGTGTGTATGTACGTCTGCACGTACGTACGTACGTGTGTATGTATGTATGTGTTGATATACCAAGGCACATAACAAAACAAAGCACGCCTCTCTGCCGGAGTAGATGCCATGCACGACGACGCCCTCGCCGAATCTGGTGCCCTGCATGGCTGGGAAGCTAACACAGGCCATCTGGTTCAGCGTCGGGAGTTCCTGCGGAGGGGTACGGACAACAAACTCCACGCTGGCCCGCCTGCCGCACGTAATTATCCGACGCAAGTCAACGGCAAACCCGCCGCGGAATGGCAATGGTCGACAACTGCACCGACGTAGTATTTACAGGTCGTCACTGGCCATCAGTAAAACCCCTGCTCCAGGCGTAAGCAACCAGAGTCGCAGTTAAGACAGCCCAGAGGGTTTGATGATGGTGTCCCCATGGTTTGAGGATGATGGTTTTTCAACGGTGGTCCGATGTTGTGCTGATGGTGCCCCGATGGTGTCCCAGCAATGCTGGTGCTGTCGTGGTGGTGTACCAGTGGTTGGATGGATTGGCCCCGATGGCATAGTATCCGAGAAACTCGTTGATGGTGTCGTGATGGTGTCCTCCGATGCTCTTTCGATGGTGCCTTACGGACTGATTCACAGTGCCCCTGACTGACTTCCGAATGGCGTCACCGTATTGTGTTGATGCCGCCTCGACGGCGTCGATGATCCGCCAGCAGCGCCTGCAGTTAAAAATTCTTGCTCCTTCGGGAGCGGCCAAGAGGGGGGCGTCCAAGAGGGGGGGGGGGGTGCAAATCATCACGGGCGGCACGTGCGCGGCCCACCCGGGGGGGGGCCAGGGACGTGATGAGATAAAACGAGGCGCCATGGAATCTGGGAAACATCATGGCCCCCGCCATGAGGAGGAGGAGGGGGAGGAGGAGGGGGAGGAGGAGGAGGAGGAGGAGGAGAGGAGGAGGAGGAGGATATCCCCCCCCCCAAGTCGTCACCCCCCTCTTCCCTCCTTGCCGCCCCCGACTCCCCTTCTCTCAAACGACTGGGCCTCGGTGCCCGGCCCGGCAGGCCGGTGGCAGCCCGTGGCCCGACCGTTCGCCGCCGTCGCCGCGCTGGGCCCGTGGTGCTGGGCCCGTGGTCGCCGCCCGTCACCGCCGCCCGTCGCTGCAGCTGGCGCCCCCTCCTCCTCCTAAGCCTCCTCCTCCTCCTCCTAAGCCTCCTCCTCCTAAACCTCCTCCTCCTCCTCCTCCTCCTCCTCCTCCTCCTCCTCCTCCTCCTCCTCCTCCTCCTCCTCCTCCTCCTCCTCCTCCTCCTCCTCCTCCTCCTCCTCCTCCCCCGTCGCTGCAACTTGCGCCGCGCTGCTTCACCCTGCTTTGCACTGCTTTGCGCTGCTTTGCGCTGCTGCGCACTGTTTTGCATCGCTTTGCTTCGGGGGAAGGAACATAAAAGGAGCGGGGAAGGCGGCACGGCGTTTTCACACTGTTATGTTGAAGCGCTTGCAGGCACCATGTGTGTTGGTGTGATTTTGACATGAACGCAAGCGCGCGCACGTTGCAACAGGTTCGCAAACTATTAGTAGGCAAACAAAGATTTGAACAAGACGAAGAAGTGCGCATGCATGGCAAAGTTTGCGAAGGATGAGGAAGCCAACACAACACATCGGAAGTGCGCAGCAGGAGGGAATAGCAGGAATAGCAACGTCTTGCAAGAGGGTGTGCGTTGGCCAAGGTGGCAAGAGCGATGATACACGACAAACAAGGCTGGGTATGCGCAAGCAAATGTGCATGCACTCCGTGCGTGTCAACATGAAGACATGGCAGACGGCCATCGGACAATCGTCGTAAACCAATCTCTTGAAAACCACGCTGGTCAACAAAATGCCAAGGCCAGGCCAAACGAGCGAGGTCGTGGTAACCTCGCTACTACTGGCTTTTCCCACGCGAGATGTCGAACACATCTAGTCGTCCTTCTTGTCAACCTCCTCCTACGTCCCAAGTGTTGTGCCGTGCAGACTCCTGATACGAGCCCGCGGAGACCTTCCGAAGAGCTCAGGGAGTCCGAAGCGCGATCATCGATACTCCTGATTCTCCGAGTCCTGCTTTTCCTTCCCCTCCCTTTGGTTCTACTGGTTCCCGTCCCCGTCTGGCAGTAGCACAACTGAGGCGAGGCAGCCCGCAGCGCAGAGAAGCCGCACGAGCCGATGCTTGCCGCACGAACATGCCGCGCCTGAGAAACAGCACGAGCCGATACTTGTCATGTCGATGGGGAACAAAGTTGATCAGGCATCGCCCCCTCCCATTGCTATTTCGAACCTCGAAGATCAAGGATCGCGTAGGGACGGTGGTAACCGGTCTTGGTCTTTCTTGGGCCTGCAGAAGCCTCACGGGGCCTGTGAGGCCCTGGAGATCTCCGGGAACATCCACACGCAGTCCTGCACAAACATCATGGGCAATCTACTCATGATACGAATAATTCCTAGGTTAAGCCCACGAGCGCCCGTAAGCCCGTAAGACTCAGCTCTTGGCCGATGGGTCGGTTCACACTGACTTCTGAATGTGATCACACACGCGCTCTCTCTCTCTCTCTCTCTCCCTCGTAACGTAAAGAGCGGATACGAGCTGCGTAGGAAATCCTGAAACCATCCAGATCCGCGGAGAGTGCTGTTCAGGCTGTCACTCTCCAGAATCTGGCGATTCCCCGAAAAGGCCAGCGACATCTCGATGTCAAAGACGCTGTGCAGGAAATCGACGTTCACCTCTGGCTCGGTGTGTACGACGCCTCCTCCTTCTCCTCGTCTGAGTTTCTCTCTCCGCCCTCCTACTCCTTCTCTCCTGCGCAGCCACGCAGTGCCGAGCGCGCAGACGCCTGGTTCGCCTCTCGTCCCCCAAACGCCCTGCTCTGTGCGCAAACTTCGGGGAATACCATTATTCATTCCTCCCTCCTCCGCCATCCCCCTCCCCACTTTCTTATCCTCCTCCTCCTTCGTCCCATCCACCCCCTCCTGCTCGTCCCCCCTCTCCTGCTCCAAATCCTCCCTCCTCCATTCTCCACCTCCCCTCCCTCCCCCTGCTTCCTCCCCAACCACTCCCCCACTGTTCCTCCTCCTCTCCTCTTCCTCCCCCTCCTCCGCAGCATAATCCCCGACTGCATTCACCCAGTCTGGGTGTTCGCCAGCATGGGCCCCGAAGCAGTGATCTCTCGCACTGTGGATGATACGTGCAGGTGCGAGAAACGAAGAAACATATTGGAGAGGTATGATGCGTGAGATGTGGCCAAGGCTACTTAACGCAGTCTACAGTCGGGGCCTTGACCTAAGGAACCCAAAATAAGGAACGAGGCCCCTTTTCTCCATAAGTTAAACTTCGACTTCCCATCGAACACGTAAGGCAAGCTGTGAAACACTTAAGGAACACGGAGCCCCTCCCCAACGAAAAGGGTTCCTTCTTCAGGGCCCCGACTGTACGTGGTGCAAGCTCTGCGGTGTAACCTGGTCGGTGCCCTCTATGCGGTACGTTATGTGTGGTGCGAGCTATGGGGTGCAACAGGCGTGTTGCCACCTGCGGGGTGCAAAGGATGTTTGCAACTAGCTGTGGCCAACCGCGCGCGGCCTCCACCCACGCTTGAGCAAAATGCGACATAGCCGCCCGCAACTTGCTGGTGAAATGAACTCGACTGGGGGATCGACTACAGAATTGATGTACCCCGAATTGATGTTCACGCCGACTCCTCAACAAGAACACGTCAACCAATCGTTGATCTGCGAACGTTCTACGAATTGCCCGTGGACTCGACAGGAATAATCCATTCTGCGGCGCATCGATTCTGCAGTCTCGACGAACGGACCAAAGAATGCAATTGCCCACCGGGGTGGGTCGGCAAATCTCAGCACGCGGAATGGCGCGCGGACCCTGCCCGGGCAGCTACGTGGCGCTGGCGGGCGAGCGACGATGGAGACGGCGGCACCGGCGACGACGACGACAAGGCTGGAGATGACGGTGACGGCGTTGACGACGAGGCCGATGACGCGACGATGGCGATGACGACGCTGACGACGACGGGGAGGACGATGACGACGGCGATGGCCATGGCGATCAAGTCTATGATGATGATGATGATGACGATGACGATGACGATGACGATGATGATACTGATGATGATGATGATGATGATGATGATGATGATGATGATGATGATGATGATGATGATGATGATGACGGTGGCAATAATCACGCCGGCGATGATGATGACGATGGTGATGGTGTGGAAGACGAGGAAGTGCGTGCACGCAGAAAATCTGAAATTATGCCATCACAACACAATTCAATGTTCACATATTTTGAACACATCCGTGTTCAAGGTCTTAGTGAACAAATGGTTATGGACGGAATCCGACGTGCGGGCGCAGGCATGCTCGCGTGCGCCCCGCATTGCATCACCTGGCCAGAAACACACAGTTGAGCTATGATGGCCGAAAGGTGTTCGACATGGACGCGAATGGCCAGTATGGTGTTACATGATAAGATGGCCAAACACACAAAATGTTTGTGATTTCAGTGACGCCCAGAATACTGACAACTTCCTGAAGCGCAACATATGATTTGCAACAGTGCGTGCGTCTCTTGAAATGGTCAGCCAAAACGAGGCTTTGGAGGGACATTGGCATTCGCGCGCGGGGGCGTGCGAATGTGGCCCACCTGGTGCGTATTGACACGGGTTACAACACAAACGCTCATTTCTGATATCATCGCCTGTGCACCGAACTGTACGTTCGCAGGATATGTCGGAAGACCGGTACCAGTTTGTCTGACATGAGTTCACCTGGCATGTCGCATAAACGATTGCGCAGTGCAGCTAAAGAAATATGCATACCTGTATACTTTATCGATCTATAGTTCACACACACATATATATATATATATACATTATATATATATATATATATCATTTGCAAGGCGGAAGCAATGCGAGAAGGGTAACATGACTCTGGCCTCGGTCTACACTCAGACCTGCTGTCAGGAAAGCAAGCAGACAAACAAAACGTCAGGGGCGACATCTCTCTGCGCATCCAGGAAGGCGAGGCGCCCACGGACGGCGACGAGGCGATGTCCAGGAGCCTCTGGGCAGAGCACAAGGGCGCCAACGAGCGCCCACGGGACTCCCACGGGCAGCGCCGGGGTGAACAGCTCGAAGGCCCGGCCAGCCCACGAGGCGCCCACGAGGCGCCCACGGGCACAGCGTTGGCCATCGTGGCCGGTGGCTTGCTGCGGTGGTTGAAAAGGACTTCCGTCCCCCCAGCGCGGGCCACGCCTCTGGATCCGAGTCCTTCCTCGCCGCTGCCGTCCTCCCCCCTGTCCCTTCCTCCGCCTCCCCTGCTCCTCATACTTCCCCTGCTCCTCACTACTCATTCTGTTGAAGTCGGGCCTGTCCCCCTACAGGGGGATTTTTGGCCATCGTGGCCGGTGGCTTGCTGTGGTGGTTGGAAAGGACTTCGGCCCCCCAGCGCGGGCCACACCTCTGGATCCGAGTCCCTCCTCGTCGTTGCCGTCCTCCCCCTGTCCCTGCCTCCGCCCTCCCCTGCTCCTCATACAGTCGGGGCGCTGACCTCAGGAACCCTAGACTCCAGAAGTTGAACTTCGATTTCCCTTCGAAAACCTAAGGAAAACGTGGGGCAAACTGTGAAACAATTAAGGAACACGGTGCCCCTACCCAACGAAAAGAGTTCCGTCTTCATCGCCCCGACTGTACTCCCCCTGCTCCTCATTACTCATGATGTTGAAGTCGGGCCTGTCCCCCTACAGGGGGGACTTTCGACGAAAAATAAAAATACCACGAACATAGCCAAAACATAATCCACAAATAGTCTGGGGACTATTTTATTTACTATTTTGACCTTCTTGGGTTATTGTTTGAGTTGTTTTTTATTTGTCGTCGAAGATCCCCCTGTTGGGGGACACGCCCGACTTACCATTATGCTCCTGCTCCTCATCCTTCTGCTTCCTCCTCTTCCTCACCAGATGATGCCAGAGGCCCCAGACCCCTGCACGGCACTCTGGGACCCCTTCGGAAAAAAAACAATGCCTCGGTCCGCCAGGCTCGCGGGAAGCACGCCTGCAGTGGCACCGCGACGACTGTGCTTTCGCCCCTGGCTGCGCGCGCGCGTAAAGCTTTCGATCGTCTCCGCATGCAACTGAATTCGAAATCGGATGTATAAAAAGAGCAATCATTGACATGCGCAGAAAACACGGGTGCATTTTTTGCTTCGCAGAAGCGAGCATGCATCAAATATTCGTCTCCGAAGATCGGGTATTTCACACGTGCGCAATGTGTTGTGGAACTTTTTGGCGGCGCGCACAATAGGGTAGGGGAAGGGGGGGAACTTCTGAGCAGGAGCCTGCTGCTTAGAAAGCTCTGGCCCTACATCTAACGACACGGCCCGCGCCTTCCAAGAAGCAGGGAGCTCCCGAGAAGCCTGCCCCACTCCCCCTACCCCCCCTCTGCACGCGGCTGGCTACAATTTGCAGTCCCGAAACGGTGCGGTGACACACCGTGCGATGACCTCGAAAACCCCCAAGACCTCACCACACGGTCCGTCAACGCACGGATTGGGACCCTGGAGGCCCCAGTCGCCCGAGACGTCCTCGGAGAACGACCCGAGCCCCAAACCCGCGCGGTGACCCCGAACCCCCGCCGACTCACCGCACGGTGTGGTCACCGCCCCGCTTGAGGGCCCCCGACACACCGAGGCCCGCGCGCAGCACCACCGGGGACCTGCAGAGGGGCCTTGCGACGGACACCTCTGGAGGTCCGCGCGGGCTTCTAGGATAGACGAGCGCGCTCCAGCGCTCGCAGAAACAGGTGGCCTGGACCCGTCGTGGGGCAGCTACGCTACACGACATCGAGGAAGACAGCATTCGTGTCCGACGTGTGCGAGTAGGCAAATTTGCGAACAGTGCTCGATGACTGGATCTGCGCTGAACAGCCCTCCCTGGCGCGAGGAGCGCGCCAGGGGCGGCGCCGGCGGCGCCGCTAGGGGGAGGGGGGGGGGCAGAGCCGATCCACAAAGTCCGAGCGGAGCGCCGAAGGCTGATGTTTCTACAGTGCGTCGTCCTTCGAGCATGGGCAGATAGGAGCACAGTTGGCACCGCCTGCCAATCAAGAGACGGCCCGAGCATCAATGTGACGAGGTAGATCTAGATGTTTGAGGGCGGGGCCCGGGTCTCGGACTCGACGGGTCACCTCCTGCTCCTCTGGAGTTGAAATCCCTCATGCCGATTGTGCTGCAACCGATGTGCCAAATCCTGCAAGCGCCATCTGGTGATCGAGGTCTCGTTAAGTACCCCAGCTGGCGGGTAGAGCAGGATCAACGCAATGAGAAGGAATGGGTGGGAGGGGTAGGATATCAGATGTGCCGCGAGAGCACCCCTCTTGCACTATACCCCTATCCCTTCTCATTCCCCCTCATCCCCCCTCCCTACCTCCCCTCCTCCTCCTCCTCCTCCTCCTCCTCCTCCTCCTCCTCCTCCTCCTCCTCCTCCTCCTCCTCCTCCTCCTCCTCCTCCTCCTCCTCCCCCCTCCACCCTCCCTCCCTCCCCCCTTCTCTTTCCCCCTCCCCCTCCTCCCCCCTCCCTCCTCACAGAAATCTCGAGAGGCCTTAACACAATCGATGCGACTAACTAGCTTGGCAAGCCTCGTGGCGCACAGATCGGTGCTGTGCAACTCCCCTGGACCCTCCTTCTTTGTTCCTTCTCTGTCTTAGTCTTTGTCGTCCTTCCTCGTCCTCTGCCAGGACTGCGAGGCGGGGGTACGTCCATATCCACTGCCTGGGGAACCGACGTCCTGGGGCCCCAGCGGGCGGCGGGTATAGACATATGCTGGCCCCAGGGGGGCCGAGTATACCCGTATCCAAGACCTGAGGGGCCCCCCGACGCTCCATGCCCCAGGCGGTGGTTATGGATAGATCCCTACGTCCGGCAGGGAGAGCAGGAGCAACGCGGCTGCTCGGTCGGGGCTTCGGGGTAATTAGGAGGAGGAGGAGGAGGAGGAGGAGGGAGGCGAGGGAAACGATGGAGAATGACGATACGCACGATGAGAGGGAGGAGGAGGAGGAGGAGGAGGAGGAGGAGGAGGCGGAGGAGGAGGAGGAGGCACCCTGCCGCCGATCACGTACAGCTGCCCGCCCATGCCGACGTAGTCGAAGAAGGCCCTCTCACGACCTCGGGCCGCGCAGGAGCCCACGACCGCCCCGGTGCGCGCAGAAAGCCGGCTGGGGCGCCCGGCTCTGCCCTCGAATGCGTGCGCCCCGAAGCTTATGTGGTTCCCGTCCCACTTAAGGACCGCCCACCACTAAGCCGAGCATCCAGAGGGACGCGTGGGCAGAAGAGCGCGCGATTGGCAACTCTTCGAAGAAAAAACAAAACAAAAAAACAGTCCCAACCAAATAATTTCGAGCACCCGGAAAAGTGTCGAAAGAGTGTCGAAGGAGTGTCGAAGCAGTGTCGGGCGAATGTCTCCCAGGGCCCGACACGCGAAAACACTCGAGTTTCCGTATGCTTGTCTGGTGCTCGAAAGTCTTTCTGGTGATCAAGGCTAGAGTAGGTTGGAGCATCATAGCCCGAGACTCCAGGCGCTCTGGCCGAGCGAGGGGAGGAGAAGCCTGCACAAACATTAAATTGTCGGACCCCGCGTGGATGTCTCGGATCGGCGCTGCGCCCCCGGCCCCGGCCCGCGGAGCGCGCCGGGGGCGGCGCCAGAAGCGCCGCCCCCGGCGAAGTGAATGCTTATGCCGTTCCGTTCTCCTTCGGCCAATGCAGGAGATGTGCAGCGCAGCTTCAGCAGGGTTGTATAAAGCCATCGGGTGCAACAATACGCTTCACCTGTCTGCCCGTGCGCGGCTCGCCGAACAACAGCTGATGAGCAGATTACGCCGCCTGGTGCCCCACATCTGAATTAGGCCATCCGCCTTTCACCTCCAGGCCACCTGAGTGCCCAGAAGCCATCGATCTGAGCTGCCGCCGCCGTGGCGAGGAAATTGCCCTGAGACTTCCAGCCTTTCAGCTCCTCCTCTCTCCCTCCTCCTCTGCAGCCGTCTTCAAAGCTGATTCCGGCTCCAGCGAGCGCTCGCGGAGGAAGCCGTCGACGGCAGCCCCCGTGCCAGACGCGTGGCGGCCGGGCCCGGGAGCCCCGCGGCACACGGGCTGCGGCGAGCCCCTGCGCGCTGCACGCTGCCGTCTGGCGGCCGCCGCGGCGCGCTGCTCGGGAGCCTCGGTGGCCCACTGCGGCCCCGGGCGAGCGCGTCGCCGCCCTCGCGCGAACGTTCGGAGAGGCACCCTCGGCGGCGCGGCGGCTCGGCCAGACTCGCACACGACACGGGCGGGGCCGCGGCGCGCCGTGTCTGGAGCGCGCCCACGTCCGGGCACCGGCGCGCGGAGCCGCGGAGCCACAGGCCTCACTGGAGGGGCCCAAGGACGCACAAAGAAATACACACAGATCCCAAGACTTCTCATACTTTCCCCTATTTCCTGGGTTTTCGTCGCCCCCCTCCACTTCTCATATTTTCCCATATTTCCTGGGTTTTCGTCGCCCCCCCACTTCCCATAGTTTCCCATCTTCTCCTGGGAGTCGACGATGGACTGTGCCTGTGTGGCTTTGGCTTCCCCTCCCGATGCACGCGGGCTGCGTGGACGAGCGTTTGCCAGCCACGCCCGAATCTCGCCTGCGCCCGCTTGGCCGCAGCCCCCCCCCCCCCAGGGCGCGCGTCCAGGGCGCGGGCCAGCCTGCCGTGTCTGGGGCCGCCGGGGCCCCAGACCGCGCGGGGCCCCGCAGGATCCTTGGGAAAACGACTGTTACCCGCCTGGAGCACATCCCTATATCCCTATGCTGGGCAGCTCCTCATCACGATGCCAATCTTAGGGATTCCCTTACTTTTTGAGGGCGGATCCCTAAGATTGTCATCGCCTTTGGGCGTGTCAAACTTAGGGATAGGGACACGTTCGAGGCTGGTGAGACCGGGCTCCAAGACCCCACGAGTCCCCGGTGCCGCGTTCTGGCAGGGATCGACCTGAGAAATACGTGTCTCGTTCTTTCGCTTTGGCTTCGCTTGCCCTCGGTTTGTCTTCAGCCCGCCTCTGCTGCAGAACGAAATCGAAACCCACGAAATCGCTGGAACACCGTTTAGGTCGACCCCCTGCGTTCTGGACCGTTTCAGCGTCTGCCAGATGGGCGTAGATTGAATCCATCGGGTGGCCGAGCGGGCCCACTTCCACCAACCCTTCGGAGTTGCCATTCGATTGCCCATGCTGCGGCCAGATGAGCTCAGACGCCGAATGGGCTCAGAAGGGGAACCATGGGAGCCGCTGAGTCTGCAAATGCGATCTTGGCTGGACGGCGAGGTAGAGGGCAGGTCAGAAAAGCACCCGAAGTGGCGGGCTAAACTCACGCTCGAAGGCAGCGCGGGGACCTACAACTGTCGGGCAAGCCGAACCAGGTCCCACCTACAGACGACGATCGGCACAGGTGAGGGATGACTGCCCCTGCGTCATGAACAGCATCTGTAGACCGCTCAGAGCCCCCCCCCCAGCTGTCCATAACACGTGTGCAGCGCCACTCGTCAGGGCACCTGGGATGGAAGTGCACCAGTTCTTTACCGCAGCCTCCCCGCAAACGCTCTCCCTGCGCGCGCGCCGCCTACGCCTTAACGACGCGCCCCTGGCTAAGCTCTGCACCCTCCGCGGGATCCTCCTTGAGGCCAGGGATAATGAGGCACCAAGGCATGTAGGTCTTCGCCTCCAAGCGGTCCCAGAGCTCCTCGGCCCTGCTCTTCACCGTGTAGATGACGCCGATGTCGTCCAGGTCTTTGCGAAAGTGCACGTTGTCCGAACCGCCAGTGGGGCCCCTGGTGCCCATGAAGCGGTAGGCAAGGTCCCACAGGAGCCAACAGCCTGTCTCCATCGGGTCGAGAAACTGGGGGCAGTCGCCCTGCGTGGCGAACTCGGTCCTCGTCGGCAGGGCGCGGCGCTGCACAGACATCCGCCAGAGGTATTCCTACCGTAGGGAACTTTTGCCCGGCGGCGGCCCCAGCGAGGCGCTGTGCCCTGCAAGCGGATGGCGTGTCGCTCCGCTCCGCGGGGCGGCAGGCAGAGAAAAACTCTAGGACTTTGACGCTTGGGGATGGGGCCGTGGATGCCGTGTCGCGCCGAAGCGTGGTGGGCCAGAACCGACGGAGCGACACAATAAGCCAAAGTTCCTGACCGCAGCTGGCCTAAATAGGCCCGCAGGATCGTCCCAGGGCGGTCCCAACACCCCTGCGCCACCTCCAGCGGCCCCCCCCCGGTGCGCTCTGGGCCCCGAGAGTTGGGGCTTGAGACCGCCCAGAGTTTCCCCTGCGGATAGTGAAACCATCCGCGACTATCTCCGACGGCTGTCGTCTGAGACCCCCGGCGACGGAACGTTTTGCTCCTCAGCGGCCCGGGTCTTTCAACCTCTCCTCCCCAGGGACTGGGCGTTGCGCAATGGGGGGGCGATCAATGAGAGGGCGAAGAAAAATCGCGCCTTCCTTCGCCACCCCAATTTATCGCCCGGCCCCCCCAACCCCCCCCATTGCGCAACGCCCGACAAGCGAGGTTGGCATCTAACAAGGGCCCATTTTTGACGGCCCCCCGGTGCCCGAAGACGGCCTCCAAACGCCCAAACTGGCGAAACGCCTCCGGCGCTGCTTTTGCCCAGGACGCCGGAGCTCTGGGCGCGCGAGGGGGAATGATAGCGGAGATCGGCTCAGGGAGAGAAGCTATGGTTGGTGAAATTCCAGCCACCGAGCCAAACTTCTCCTATCAAGCCGAATTGGTGTTGGGCCTTGGCTTGCGTGCGGAAGCGGCCAGGCCCCCGTCAGTTTGTCGAGCTCGCGCCTGACCACGACTCACGAGGACACCCCGAAACGAGAAGAAAACTGCTTCGACGCGACGACGACGCAGGAGCCCCGCATGGTCATCCTGAGCAATTTGCTGAGGATGTATCAGGCGAAACGCTGTTTTTGCAGAGTTGGGGGGTGTCTCGGCTTTGTGGGGGGGGGGGGGGGGGGCGGAATTCCGATGATGTCCCAAGCGAAATGTCTGTTTTCACGCGCCCACGTCGCCCCGATGGGTATCCAACGTTGCGGCTCCGAGCTGGAACCGCGTGTTTTCGGAACAGGAGGAGGAGGGAGGAGGAGGAGGAGGAGGAGGAGGAGGAGGAGGAGGAGGAGGAGGAGGGGGGGGGAGGAGGGGGAGGAGGAGGAGGGGAGGGGGAGGAGGAGGTAGGAGGAGGAGGGGAGGAGGAGGAGGAGGAGGAGGGAGGAGGAGGAGGAGGAGGAGGAGGAGGAGGAGGAGGAGGAGGAGGAGGAGGAGGAGGAGGAGGAGGAGGAGGAGGAGGAGGAGGGGAGGAGGAGGAGGAGGATGGAGGGGGGGGGGGGGGAGGAGGGAAGGGGGAGGGGGAGGACCCACGTGTTTCGGATCAGGAAAAAAGGGCTTGCCCGGGAGCGCGGTCCGGCCGCGGCGCATCCCGGTGGCGAGTCCCCCCTGGCCCGTCGTGCGGCGCGTCTCTCTTGGCACGTCCCGCGGCACGTCCCTTTGGCACATTCCGCAACGCGCCCCTTTGGCACGTCCCGCGGTGCGTCCCCATGGCACGCCCCCATGGCTGGAGGCTTGGAAATTGACACCAGCACCAACACAGGGGGTTGCCTCCACCAGGGGAAGGTGATCCTAGATTTCGGTGTTGGTGGTAATTTTTCGGCCTCCGACCTGGCACGTCCGCTGGCGCGTGCCCTGGTGGGTTCCGCGGCGCGCCCCCCTGGCACGCCCCCCTGGCATCAACCGGTTGCATGCGCAAGTGAAGTCCTGAGGCAGGGTTCCATGCCTCGCAGTTCTCAATCCCTTTTCCGGGTGCGTGGGTCGACCATGTTTGCCGACCGCCCTTGCGCCGCGAATGCTGGACCCCCGCGCCCCGCGCAAGCGGCAGGAGCAGCAGGAGGAGGCGAAGAACGGCGAAGGGGGGAGGGCCAATGCTGACCCGCGACCACCCGAACCTCGACTGAGAGACCGCCACGCAGAAATACGCGCCAAGAACGAGGGGCAAAGCGCGCCCCGCTTGAGGTAAGCCGAAGTGGGGAGGTAAACCGAAGTGGGGGCTCATAGGTGAAGGTTACCCCAGGAACCCACCCAGGACCCCAAAACGAACACGATCGCTATGATTTTCTCCAAAAAAGGTGAGGGCATCAGAAGACGCCGCTCCTCATAAAGTGGATGGGAGGCATCGCCCGGGGGCGGCCCTAGGAAGATCCCGCTCTTGCTCTTCGTGAAGACGGCAGTGGGTTCCAACTTGCACAAGTGGATGTAGCTTTCCCGCGGGGGTCGGCGCAGGCGAAGAAGGGATGCGTCAGGGAGGGCGCGAAAAAGTAACACACGAAGAGGGTGCAGCCAAAAAACGACGCCCATGCCCCCCCCCTCTCCCCCCCGAAACAGGAACAGCGACAAACACCGCACGTCAAGACTCGGCCAGCCGCGAAAGAAAGACCGACGAGAGAGACGCGACATGATTAGACGACGAGAGAAGCTCAAACGTAAACGTGCGGCGAGAAGAGAAGGGTACCAATAACGAAGCCGAGGGCCACCGAAATCGGCGACCAACCTCACCGGCCACCCGGGCACCCGGGCACCGCCGGGCACCCGGGCACCCGGGCCCGGCCACCGAAATCGGCGACCCACCTCACCTTAACCTTTAATCCGCAGGACCCCTACAGAGGCAAGCTCTGATTGGGGAAAAACGAAGCCGAGGGCCTCAGGATGTGAAAGACCAGCCGCGCATCATCAAGTTCTCCGATGCAACGCGCCGCCGCGCGGCCTCCGCGCTCCGAAGCGCTGGCTTCCGGGCCCCGCGGGCGGCGCCTCCTCGGGGGCGCGGGCGCGGCAGCCCCTGACGTAGGCGCATGTCGGGCGCGCCCCCCATACAAGGGGAATTTCGATGAAAAATAAAATATACCCCCCAAATGCCCCAAAAAGGTCCACGCAGATTCCAAAAATAGCCCCCATACTATTTTTGGACTATTGTTGGAACATTGCTGGGGTATGTTTTTTATTTTTCATCGAACATCCCCCTGTGGGGGGACAGGCCCGACTCAAACATAGGCTGCTGGGGGCCCGATCCTTAGTCGGACGCCAATGCAAGCCGCGTTCTTGCCGAGCCGATGTTCCCCAAACTACATCGCGACAGGCCGCTAGCAGCACGGCGCAAGATAGCGCAGCGCTGCGCCTCTGAGGCTTTCTGCGAGCCGCACGGGCCCGCATCCACCAACGTCGTCGGCCGAGGCGCGGACCGCGCGTGGATTGGACGGCGCCATGACGGCGCCATGCGTCGCCACGGGCGCAGCATCGCAGCGCGCTGAGTCACGGCGCGCCAAGTCGTCACGGCGTCGGGCTTCCCCGTCGCCTCGGAGCCAGACCGCAGCAAACGCTCGGTGCCGGGCCCCCCCGGCGCAACAGGAAATGACCCCGGCAACCGCTCGGCCTCGGCATTCGCTGGCGCGCGGGGGGGGCGACCTGGCTGAGGCGTCAGCGTCAAATTCCCCTGTCACAAGACTAACCAACCACGAAGGGTGCTTAGCGTCGGGTTTCCCCATCGCAGGAGCACGCGCGCCCGGCCCCCCCCCCCGCCGCCCGCGCCCATCCGTTCCCCCTGAAGAAAACGGAGCGGGTGGGCGAACGGCGATCTCGAAGGCGGCAACTTCGGCCACCAGGGAACACGCGTCGGCGTCGCCGTGGGCCCACTCGAACGCCATCGCCCTGGGCCGTTAGAAGCCACCCGCTCGCGACCGCGAGCCGTCTTCGGCGGCGGCGCCCAACCTGCGTAGTCCAACGCGGGGAAGCGACTCCCCGCGCGCCTTGTTTCGCGCTTGCAGGTGCGCTGTAAGGTGCTTCGTCGCCAGGGCCAGAGCGGCTTCCTGAGGGCGAGCGTCCTGTTCGTTAAGCTTTTGCGGCGTTGCCTCCACCGTTGCCCGCGCGCGCGAAGGCGCGCCGACCCCCGCGCCCACGACGCCCGCCCTTGTTGTGCCAGCGCATCGGCACGCGCTGACCCCCCACAGCGCGGTTTCGAACATGTGCTTGCCAAGGCAATCTCTTCGCAGAATCTGCGGGCCCCTGGCTCTACCAAATGCTCTGGATGATACCGCGGGCAGTCTTCAGGTTTGCGCGCGCCTCTGGGCCCAGTCGCTGGGCGCCCCCTTACCTGCCGACGCGGCAGAGCGACCCCCCCCCCCGCATGCTGACGAAATTCCCCTGCTTGCCGTTCGCAGGCGATGGCAATCAAGTAGCTTGGCGCACTTGTCGCGAAGCCGCTCGTAGTTTTTGGTCGAGTCGCCTCTGCCAATCCTGTGACGTGCCACGTCGTGCCCGAGGTCGCGACAACGTTCGATCTGCCTTCCGAATGCGAAGTCAAGAATGCACCTCTCAGGCAAGGCTGTCATAAACATCGCCGACACTGTTGTCTCCCGTTCTTGTCGCACTGAGGCGGGCGAAGGCCAGCGTGCGTCCGCCTGCTTCTACCAGCCTGCACCATTCCAGGGTCCTAACAAAGACCTGCCGTCCTTTGTCGAGCTGGCCATTGGCCTCAGCTCCTCCTGCCTCCCGCGCGTCTACTCGACTCCTGGTGTCATCTGCCTTGGTGATGTCGCTGCGTAGTGTGGCCATGTTCATAGCGAGTGCCTCGAACTCGCCACTGCGACAGTGGAGTCATACGTTGTTCCAGCCCCCACCAATCAGACGGAGCCGAGTGAAGCATGTATCTGGTCTCTCTGAGGCAGTTTTCGTCGTCTCAAACACGTCCTGTTTCCACTGTCGAAGTGTGGTGTAGTGGGTGGCCTTCGGTGTTCAACCTGTTCGGCCTCTGTGAACTTCGCTGTGTCTTGCAGTGTCCGAACTGCATATTCCGAGGCGCCCTGACAATCATGATGGGATAACCCCGCGCCCGCGCCATGAGGCTTATCCCCGAAGGGTGAGGGTGGTGCACTTGTCTGCCGATCGTCCTGGATAGGTGATCCCGCCCACTGGTCCTTCATAGGTGCGGCGCGTTCCCTGCTGGCCAGGGCCCCAAGGCCGGGCGCGGTGCAACCGCAATGGCTCTGCTAATATTGATTGCTTGTCTTAGGCAACTGCTGTCTTCAACGCGATAAGCGTCATATTGCTCCGACGCAGCGTGCCGGCATGCCGGCACGCGCCGCCCCGACGCGCTCTCGCGCGCAGGGAGTGCGGAGACGGCTTGCGTTGGTGCCACGTGGGGCGTGGTCTCAGCTTCTGTCCACTCCGCAGGTACGCGCTGCTGTGGCGACAGTGACACAGGCAGTGGCATCCTCATTACTAGGGTCACGTGCTTCGTGACTCGTGATACCAGTCCAACAGAGATCGCGCAGACACGTCTCTCCTCACTTCTGGTCCTATCCAGGCCCGCAGGGTTCATCGTATTGTGATTACGGAGCTGATTGCTGCAGTCGGCACCTGCATGTTCAAGTGCCTCCAATGTTCTTGCGTGTCTGTGCCCTTTTCCAACAGGTCCACTGGCACTGTTTCGTGCACAAAGACCACGTCGTGATTTGCACTGGCTTGATCACCCGTGCGATTTAGCTGCTCTTGCAGGGCAGCGTGGTTCATCATTGCACGATTCACGGTGAGTACAATTCCTGCCAACTGACCGTTAAGCTGCTTCAGCTCATTGTGTTTGGCGGCCCGTTGCGTTCGCAGGGCCCCAACCTTAGACTGGAGTTTCTGCCACATGTCACCACGCTGCTTTTTGGTGAGTTCAATGCTTTCCCACTCGGTTGCAGACATATTGATACATTGGCCAAGACTGGTGAGCTGTTCGTAGAGATGGGTATGGCTGCTTTGTCTCTGTTGCTGTTCCTGCCCATGGTCCCTGGCACCCATGGCCGCAAGAACCTCGATCGCATCGCGAGTTTCATCTTCGATAGCTGGGCGGGCCGTTTGTAGTTCACTGGCAAATTGGGCCATCAGCCGAACTTCTTCCACAACGGCCCGCGCCTCTTGGTAGCCGTGGTCATTGATAGCTCTCGCGTATTCTATACATGTGCCGCGAAAGGCTGAAACGTCATTGTTTCCTTGCTCCTGAAGGGCTAGTCGTTGCCGCAGGCTGTGCTCCTGCATACAAATTGGCACATTCAGCAGGTCACTTGGCAACACGGGCGCTTCGACTCGACGCTCATCGGGTTGATGGTTCGCGTCCGTCGACGCGGCGCTTTACTTGGGTCGCGCGCGGCATGCGCCGACTCGTCGCTCATAAATTTGGTCCGCGACAACCTGGCGTTCACCATTATGGACCGCGCCAGTTCAACGCTCATTGGTGTCGTTTGCGCCGACTCCACGCTCTTCGGCACATCATCCAGACGGCGGTCGTGAGGAATGCCTGTTGCGTCCACTAGCTCATTTTGGCTGAAACCGCAGACCTGTTCTGCTTTGGCTCACGACAGCGGGGAAGGAGCGCGTCATCGAAGGGGTCTGGCATATAGCCCCCCCCCCGCTTCCCTGGCTCTTTCGAATTCATCTTGGACGCGGCCGGCCTTCCGATAGCACAAGGTTTCCCTGGCGCGTCGCCCGCAGCGCCGGGCTTCCCAATCGCATCGCTTGTAGCGTCAGGTTTTTCCCCGACGCAATGGCCCCGCTCTGCGAGACACTTGCGGGCGTCGGTGCGCCGACGTTGTACGGTGGCGAATGGCACTTTCATCGCCAGTTGTCCAATCCGTCCAAGCCGTGGCGGCGACAGCTGACCGCTCGCATGTCATAGCGTGGCCGTCAGCGGCCCCGTCAATTTCGAACGATGAATCCGAGATCATGGCCTCGAGACTCGCTGCCGGCGAGCCCGAGGTATTCGTGTTGATAACCTACGTCTGCACACATGCACTGCGCTAGCGGGCACCGCTTCGCGGGTCTGCGGTGACTCACCGCTTTCGGCTGATAACCGATGGTTGGGGATAGTTCGGCCACTGGGCCGAACTCCCTTCATCGAAACCTTATTGGTATTGGGCCATGGCTAGCCTACGAAAGCGGCCAAGAACTCGTCAATTGTTCCTATTTGCGTCTAGCCGTGACTCACGAGGACGCCGCCCTGAAAAAAAACTAATACCGTGTGCAATTCGACGCGACAACGACGCAATGGCTCCATCCTTTTGGCCGAACGCCATTGAGTCACGAGCTCGATCCCGAAAAGCTATGCCCAAGCAGCAGCAGCAGCAGCAGGAGGAGGAGGGGCGAAGTACCAAAACGGAACCACGACACCCGAAACCGCGGCGGGCATACCGTCAAAAAGAAACACGCGCCAACAAAACGAGAGTAAAACACAGGAACATCAAGGTGGAATCGACGATGCATCACCGACGGATCGTCGATTGGCCCCCGATAGCGAATCTGCGGCGGAGTGAGCTGTCAGGCCCCTATCGGGCCCCCTGAGCTTACCCCCCCGATCCAGCCAAAGTCAGCGCGCCCATGACGGGCGCTCCACGAACCGGCGCTTTGGCCAGTGACCAAGCGAGCCCGACCCTCCCCGACGCAGGCAAAGCTGCAGTGCCCGAGAGAGGCCCAAAAGTGTTAACCTGTTTGGCAAGTTTCCAAACTACCCGTTGGTGAGTGCCCATGACGGTGCCACTGACCCTGAGTTTGTTCGCAGCCACAGGCCCTGCGTCTCGGTCGGCATGGCGTCGGGTTGCGCACGGACTGGCCCCCCCCTCAGGGTAGTCGTGGGAGGCCTGTTGAGGCTAGCTTGGACTACTCGGGGGGCCTGGTGAGGCCAACTAGGATTAGCTGGGGGGGGTGCTTTGGCGGCGTGCACAAATGGGTAGGGGAGAGGGGAAGGCTTCTTAGAAAGGGGCTGCTTCTTAGAAGGAGCCGGCCCGACATCTACAGACAAAGCTGGCCTCTTCTGAGAAGCGGGGGCGCTTCTAAGAAGTCTCCCTCCTTCCTCTCGTACCCCCCTGCGCGTGGCTGAGGTTGGTCGGCGCGCAAACCGAAGCCCTGCCAAACTCCAGGGAAACTAAAACGTACCAATGCCGCTACTCCCCGGACCTCGCCAGGTGCGCGTTGCGACAAGGACTACGAAGCGCATCAAGCGGCGGCGACGAGAGCCTCAAGGGGAAAACGGGCGAAGGGTAGCGGTGTGGGTACCTTTTCCTCGTCCGAATCCCCCCCGTATCGTTGCCCCTGATGCTGCCAGATCGCAGGTGTTCCACGTGGGTGCGCCAGTGACCCATTGGCGAATCCAGCGGTGGCGACGGGGGCCTCCCAGGAGGCCCCACAACGGGGGCAACGAGGGAAGGGTAGCGGCATCGGTAACTACCCTTTCTTCCTCCCCCTCCTCCTCCTCCTCCTCCTCCGCCTCTTACTCCTCTTTCCCCTCCTCCTGCCCCCTCCTCCTCCTGCCCCCTCCTCCTCCTTCCTCCTCGTCCTCCTCCTGCCTCCTCGTCCTCCTCCTCCTCCTCCTCCTCCTGCCTCCTCCTCCTCTGAGACGCGGTCCTCGTCTTCTGGCTGCTCACGGGGTTCGCCCGCGACCGCGCGGCCTCGGCCTCGAGCAGCACCTCGAGGCGCCCGCACGCGGGGCGCGCGCCCTCCGGCAGGCGCAGCGTCCACTTCGAGGGGTCCTCCCCCTGCTCCACCACGTCGCCGATGGGCTCGCCCTGAGTTTGGAGCCGGCCATGTGTGTACGTGTGCGTATGGGTAAATCCTGATTTACGCACATGAATACATACATCATACCTACGCACATACATACATACATACGTACGTACGTACATACATACATACATACATACACACGTACATACATACGTATGTACACGCAGGCAGATACCGACCGACAGACAGACAGACAGACAGACAGACAGACAGACAGACAGACAGACAGGCATGCATGCATGCATGCATGCATGCATTCATACACGCATACACATACAAATGCATATGTCTTTATTTACATACATGCACCTGTATGCGTAAGCATGTGGAGGCATGTGTGCCTTCCTGTACATACATATATACACACACATATATATATATATATACATCTTACGAATCAAAATATAAGAGAGAACGTGATCCACCGCCGCTTTACTGTGGAAAATTGCCGCCCTTTTCCTCCGGAGCCCGGGGTTCCCCCCCCCCCTCCGAAAATCCCCCCCCCCTGGACCTCCCCTCCCTCCGGCAAACCCCCCCCCCTCCCCCCCCATAACCCCTCCCCCCCCCCCTCCCCCTCGAAAACCAGGGGGGGGTCACTACCGGTTCGAACCCCCCCCCCCCTCGAAAACCGGGAGGGGGGGCACTACCGGTTCGAACCCCTCCCCACCCCCCCCACTCACCGCCAGCAAACGACTCCCGGTCCCTACCACCGTCCACACCACATCCCCCACTGTTGTTCCCAGCGCCACTGTCCTCACCACCACTGTCCCCACTGGTTCCACCACCGTCCCTATTGTCCCCACCAGTGCCCCCACCACTGTCGCACTGTCCCCACTGTCCCCACCACTGTTCCCACCACGGTTCCACTCTCCCCACTTTCTCCACACCCCCAACCACTGCCCGACTATCCCCACTGTCCCCACTGTCCCACTGACTCCTCCGCTGTCCCACTGAACTGTTCCACTGTTCCCACCACTGTCCCCACTGTCCCCACCACTGTCCCCACTGTACCTCTGTTCCATTGTCCCACCGCCGTCCTCGCCACCGCCTTCACCACTGTCCCCACCACCACTGTACCCTCCACTGTCCCACTGTTTTCACCTCATTCCCACTGTCCCCACACCACTGTCCCCACCACCACCGTCCCCACCACTGTCCACTGTCCCCCCCTGTTCCCACCATTGTCCCCACCACTGTCCCCACCACTACCGTCCCCACCACTGTCCCACTGTCCCACTGTCCCCACCACTGTCCCGCTGTCCCCTCACCACTGTCCCCACCAACACCGTCCCCACCACTGTCCGCACCCCCCTCGGTTTTCGAGGGGGGGGGGGAGGGGGCGGAAGGGGGGTTCGAACCGGTAGTGACCCCCCCCCCACCCCCCCGATTTCGAGGGAGGGGGGGGGGGGGGGCGGAGGGGGGGTTCGAACCGGTGGTGACCCCCCCCCTTTTCATAATGAACTGGGGGGGGGGGAGGGGTTCGAACCGGTAGTGGCCCCCCCCGGTTTTCCGGAGGGGGGGGGGGGGGAGGGGTTCGAACCGGTAGTGACCCCCCGCGGTTTTCCGCCAGCAGCGGTAGAACACGCTCTTTCAAATATAAGTAACTCTGTTTATGGATGCATATACAAATAAGTGGGTGCATGTGTATATACATATTTATTAAGGTCTATGTAAAGTGTGTATGTGTGTCCCGCCACCGTTAAGAAAAGTCATGACGATGATGAATTCGCGTGAAGATAGATCGAGAATCTGTGAGATCCTACGGCTCTGGGAATATTTCGCAGGCGCCGCGGCCTCCCAGAGCGTTCCGGAACGCTCTGGGAGCGTTTCGGAACGCTCTGGAACGGATTTGTCCTCGTCCTAACCCCGACCGAACCGTGCCCTTGGGCATGGAGTGAGCGTGTCCTCAGGTCCCTTGCTCAAGCTCTGTCCTCGAGCCTGAAGATTGTTCAAGGGCTCGGATCGAGGCTTCCGGGTTTTGTCGCGTCCACTTTTGAAGAGCGGAGCTCCGCAAAGTGGGCTGGAACCACGGGAATAGGATCGCCTCGCTCCCAGTAGCGGTGCGGCGCTCCGCTAATTGGCCTCGAACCTAAGAATTCCTGTTGCTCCCTTCCCAATGGCGAAATGGGATCCGTAAGTGGTTGGCGACTCCTCAATCCTCCTCCTCCTCCTCCTCCTCCTCCTCCTCCTCCATTTCCTCCTTCCGGATGCCGTCCTCTTCCTCCGTTTCCGCCTCCTCTTCCCCCTCCTATTCCTGCGTGCAATATACCGGAAATTGTATTATCGTGTAGTACTTGAGGCAATTTGCTTTGGCCCACAAGCCAAGGATCCACGCTTGATCGGATGGATATGACCCAATGGATACCACATCGGCTCCACTGGAGCCCTCTGGTCCACAATCCAGGCCACGAAACCCTGATCTACATTCGAGAGTCCTCTGACATAGAATCCACGAATAATGGCCGGGTGGGCCGAAACACATTCGATACACATGTGTACACATATGTCTGTGCATATATGTGTAAAAAATCATAGCTATATGTTAATACAATGTGTAAATATGAATACTTGTGGACAGAAATGCATACGCATACAGGCGCCGTGGATGGCAGAAACCTTACATACACATACGGATACACAAGCTGTGAGTGCACATCGATGCTCGGGGGCATAACTTTTCGACGTCGGAATCATCCGCAAAGGCGCGATCGAAGAACACGAGGGTTTGGGGCATGCCTCGGGCCCCAAACATAAACATAAGCATGTTTGCACAGATCTGCCAAACCACAGATGCCGATAAGAGTGATGGGGCGATGAGGACGTCGGCAGTGTGCGAAACTCTGGAGAAGCCCGCCTTAGGCGCCAAAGTTTCACACGTTACACAAAGAGCTCGCCGCAAGCGCGGATGTTTTCTTCGAGCCCACGTGGATCGGTCGCGGGTGGGTCGCGGGCGGGTCGCGTGTGGGTCGCGAGTGGGTCGCGGGTGGTTCGCAAGCGGGTCGCGGGCGGTTCGCGGGCGGGTCGCGGATAGGTTGCGGGGGTGGCCGCGGGTGTGTCGCGGGGCGGGTCGCGGGTGGGTCGCGGGTGGGTCGCGGGCGGGTCGTGGGGTGGGTCGCGGGGTGGGTCGCGGGGTGGGTCGCGGGGCGCGTCGCGGGGTGCGTCGCGGGCGGGCCGCGGGGGGGGCGACGACAAACGACAACAACACCAACAACAACAGCAACAACTATCGTTTTACCATCGCGCGCCATGCCTCCACAGGTCACGCGCATCCTCCTGGGTACCGCGCACCATCATGGGTTCTTTTTCTGGCACGCGGGGCCCGATATTCCCTCGCCCAGATCTCCCGCCAAAGAATGCATTGCCACACCCTCGCCCGAGGAACTTCCACATCCACAGCCCGGACGGCACATCGCCATCGCAATCGCCTTGCGCGCGCCCCGCATCTCGGAGAGGAGGCGGCAGGGGACGACCAGGTTGAGGAATATGAGGGAGAGGATGAGGGAGAGGAGGAAAAGGAGGAGGAGGAGGAGGAGGAGGAGGGGGAGGAAGGAGTAGTTGTGGCAGCAGCACCTCCGAGGGCGAGGTGGTGCTTACCCCCCTTGCGAACTGTTGCGCCGCCATCCTGCGGCCTCGGCGCGTGACCCTGAACGTTCACGCCCCCAGGCGCTGCCGCGCCCATGCTCGCATTATCCACCTGCCCCTTTCCACACCCTCCCAAGGAATCCCTGAAGTCAATCCTTCGACCCTCGATCCTTGGAGCCCCTGGAAGTCATCCGTCCTCCTTCTTCTCCTCCTCCTCCACATTATCTACGCCCTCGCAAACGTGGTAGTTAATTCATGAATAAGGTTCAACAGAGACGCTTGGAAGCCCCCCAGAGGCAATGCCGAAACGAGGGCCCCAGTCTTGAGTAAAAGAAGAGGAAGGATCAAGCGGGAGCGACGAGGGATTACGGAAGGGGAAGGGGGGAGGAAGGAGGGGGGAGGGAGGCAGGAGGAGGGAGGATAGAGGGAGGACGAAAAGGGAAAGGAGGAGGGAGGAGGAGGGAGGAGGGAGGAACGAGGGACAGGAGAGAGAGGAGGGAGGAGGGAGAAGAGGAGGGGTGGAGGAGGAAGGGGGAAGGAGAGAAAGGGGGAAAGGAGGATGAGGAGGCGGAGGAAGAGGAGGAGGAGGGAGAAGAGGAGGACAAGGAGGAGGAGGAGGAGGGAGGAGGACGAGGACGGAGAGGAGGAGAAGAGGAGAAGAGGAGGAAGAGGAGGGGAGGGGAGGATAGGGGGAAGAAGAGGAAGGAGGAGGAAAGAGTTTGAGGAGGGAGGAGGGAGAAGGAAAACAGGAGGGGTGGAGGGAAGCAAGAGGGAGAAGAGGAGGGGGGGGAGGAGGGGGATGGAGGAGGAGGATGAAAAGGAGGAGGATAGGAAGGAGGAGGAGGAGGAGGAGGAGGAGGAGGAAGGAGGAGGGGGAGAGGAGGAGGAGGAGGAGGAGGAGGAGGAGGAGGACGAGGACGAGAACGAGGAGGAGGACGAGAACGAGGAGGAGGAGGAGGAGGAGGAGGAGGAGGAGGAGGAGGAGGAAGAGGAGGAGAAAAGGGCGCCAGTCCAGCGTAAAACGGGAGGAGGTCTCGGACGGGAGCGCTGGTTTTGTCGGGACGGGGGCTGTCGGCGGCGAGCAAGAGCACCGCCTTGAGTAAAAAAGGAAGAAGGTCTCGAGCGGGAGCGTTGTTGTTGCTGGGGGGCGGCGCCGATGAGAAAAATAATGACGAGCCTGTCCAAGGTAAAACGGGAGGAAGTCTTGAGCGGGAGCGCTGGTTTTGTTGAGACGGCTGCTTTCGGCGGCGAGCAAGAGCACCGGCCCTGAGTAAAATTAGCCTGGCGAAGGACCCAACCATATGCAGTTGAGAGTACCGCAATTGTGAATATCTTCTTCGGTGGCGCTCCCTATGGGGCCACGAGCCGTATGAGGGGTGTGCCGAAATGCGTGGCAGTGTACACAACACGAACGAAGACGATAGGTCCGAATATGAAAGCTTGAGCGCGTGCGAGTCGGATCGCGAGCGAGTCTGATTATGAATGAATCTGCGCGCGATTGATTCTATTCGCATGAATGCGTGCATGGATACGCCCAGTGTAAATGTATGTATACGACTGTGAACAGTTTGGGTCTGCGTGACTCTCGGTACTCGTGACTCTGAGCGTCGCCTCTGCAGGGGGCTTCCCTGGGAACCCCGACGGCAGCGCCCGCGCGCCGCGACGCCCATGTCGGCACGCCACACACCTGGTGTGCGGGACGCATGCGGACGGCAGCACTGGGGCCTTCGGTGGAGCTCCCTGTGGGGCCACGAAACGTGTGAGGGGTGTGCCGAAATGGGTGTGCGGGACGCATGCGGACGGCAGCCATGGGGCCTTCGGTGGAGCTCCCTATGGGGCCACGAAACGTGTGAGGGGTGTGCCGAAATGGGTGTGCGGGACGCATGCGGACGGCAGCACTGGGGCCTTCGGTGGAGCTCCCTGTGGGGCCACGAAACGTGTGAGGGGTGTGCCGAAATGGGTGTGCTGGACGCATGCGGACGGCAGCACTGGGGCCTTCGGTGGAGCTCCCTGTGGGGCCACGAAACGTGTGAGGGGTGTGCCGAAATGGGTGTGCGGGACGCATGCGGACGGCAGCATTGGGGCCTTCGGTGGAGCTCCCTGTGGGGCCACGAAACGTGTGAGGGGTGTGCCGAAATGGGTGTGCGGGACGCATGCGGACGGCAGCATGGGGCCTTCGGTGGAGCTCCCTGTGGGGCCACGAAACGTGTGCGGGTGTGCCGAAATGGGTGTGCTGGGTGTGCGGACGGCAGCACTGGGGCCTTCGGTGGAGCTCCCTGTGGGGCCACGAAACGTGTGAGGGGTGTGCCGAAATGGGTGTGCGGGACGCATGCGGACGGCAGCATGGGGCCTTCGGTGGAGCTCCCTGTGGGGCCACGAAACGTGTGAGGGGTGTGCCGAAATGGGTGTGCGGGACGCATGCGGACGGCAGCACTGGGGCCTTCGGTGGAGCTCCCTGTGGGGCCACGAAACGTGTGAGGGGTGTGCCGAAATGGGTGTGCGGGACGCATGCGGACGGCAGCCATGGGGCCTTCGGTGGAGCTCCCTATGGGGCCACGAAACGTGTGAGGGGTGTGCCGAAATGGGTGTGCGGGACGCATGCGGACGGCAGCCATGGGGCCTTCGGTGGAGCTCCCTGTGGGGCCACTATGGGGCCAAACGTGTGAGGGGTGTGCCGAAATGGTGTGCGGGACGCATGCGGACGGCAGCACTGGGGCCCTTCGGTGGAGCTCCCTGTGGGGCCACGAAACGTGTGAGGGGTGTGCCGAAATGGGTGTGCGGGACGCATGCGGACGGCAGCCATGGGGCCTTCGGTGGAGCTCCCTATGGGGCCACGAAACGTGTGAGGGGTGTGCCGAAATGGGTGTGCGGGACGCATGCGGACGGCAGCACTGGGGCCTTCGGTGGAGCTCCCTGTGGGGCCACGAAACGTGTGAGGGGTGTGCCGAAATGGGTGTGCGGGACGCATGCGGACGGCAGCCATGGGGCCTTCGGTGGAGCTCCCTATGGGGCTACGAAACGTGTGAGGGGTGTGCCGAGAGCAGAGGCAAGGAGGGGGAGGAGGGAGGAGGGCGAGGAGAGGAGGAGGAGACGCGGGCCGTCCTCTCTTCAAAACGAGGACCCAACACCACAGGATGGTTGGGAAAAAGGAGGAAGTCTCAAACGGAAAGGTTGTTGATGTTGGGGGGCCGGTTTTGGCGTTCCCCCAAAACGCTTGAGAGTGAGCCTCATGTTCAATGAAAATTCAGGCGGCGCCTCGGCGAGAGCGCCAGGGCGCCTGTAAGGGGTCCAACAATAAAAATGTTTAGTAATTAACAACAACAGCAGCAACAGCAGCAGCAGCAGCAACAACAACAACAACAGCAACCATTTTAAGGCTGTACGCTCTTACTTGCCCGCGAGTCATTCAACACGTATACCCTACACCCTCGATGCCCGCCCTCTTCGTTTTCGATCACACCCCTTTCGGGGGGATTATTTTTCTTTGCTGGGGCCGGCGGGCTTAGACGTACGGGCAAACCGGAACGGGCGGACAATCCTTCGGGGGCGTACATCTCTCTACCCGCCATTGGAATTGGCGCGGGCCCTGCAAGAGGAGGAAGGGAAGAACGAGGGAGACTGGGAGGAAGGGGAGGGGGAAGGACGAAGGAAGAGGGATGATACCACCCACGTTGTGAAGGCGTCCTTGGCGCGCGCGTGGTTCCTGAGCGCCGAAACGCAATTCCAGAATAATTTGTGAGGACGTCGCACGCGAGAGCGCAGTCCTGAGTACATTGTAAGGAAATCTCAGGCGGAAGCGGGGGCCCTGACTAAGTTGCAAGGAAGTCTAAAGCGGGAGCGCCGTTCCTGAGCAAATCGCACGGAAGTCTCAGGCGGGAGCGGGGGTCCTCACTAAATTGCGAGGAAGTCTCAAGCGGGAGCGCCGTTCCTGAGTCAATTGCGCGGAAATGTGAAGCAGGAGCGGGGGTCCTGAGTAAAATTCGAAGTCTCAGGCGGGAGCGCCGTTCCCACGTAAATTGCACGGAAGTCTCAGGCGGGAGCGGGAGTCTTGATTACATTGCGAGGAAGTCTCAAACGGGAGCGCCTTTCCTGAGTAAATCGCGCGGAAGTCTCAGGCGGGAGCGGGGGTCCTGAGTAAAAATCGAGGAAGTCTCAGGCGGGAGCCGTTGTTGTTGTAGCCCGGGGGGCAGGGGCACAGTTTGAGCAGGAAGTCTTTCCTTGAGAAAAAACAAGGTGCGAACCCCGGGGTGGCACTTCAATCGAACAAAAATCAATGTGCACCGGTGGGGGGGGGATCAACAATAATTATTCTTCAAGAATGAGAGCTCAACAACAACAACAAGACCAACAACAACAACAACAACAATCATTTTACCCGAACGCTCAGTGTTCTCACCAGTGCCAGGGTTTTCATGCGACGCGAGACAATACCCCCACTTCGTGGGGGGGCAGTTCAAGCTCTACCAAATATCCAAACGACTCTTCGCGACCACCCAAACCCAGCTTCCCGCCCTATGACGTTGGGACACTTCACTTCGTGGCGTGCGGACGACCGTGGCTACTACACTGGCGTGGGGTACACACCCACAGAACTTGGTCACTTATTCGGGGCGCGCGTGTGCCCAGCATCCTGCAATTTGTGACATACAATACATGACACAGACAGACAGAGAGAGAGACAGAGAGCAGACAGAGAGAGAGACAGAGAGAGCGGAGTTGGTCACATTTTTGGGGCAAGTTCCTGAGATCGTCGTGTTTTTTGTTGGTCTTGCGCGCGCGAATGTCCACTTTACTTTTTTTTTGCAAGGGAGTATTGAAATTTGATTATGTTAGAACAAGAAAAAGTAGCTCGCGCGAGCTCATGTAACATAAATGTTGAAAAACCATTGGTTTTGTGGGAGTCGGACAGCGCGCGCGGGATGAAATTTGGACAATTTTTTTTGAAAAACCATTGGGTTTTTGATGTTTTTATGTTGAAATCGTTACGAAACCTAAGGTTCTGGAAGGATTTCGTCTTGCGCGCGCGAATGTCCACTTTACCTTATTTTTTGCAAGGGATTCTTGAAATTTGATTAATTAGAACAAGAAATGTCATTTTATATTGTTTTTTGCAAGGGAAAGCGGGGGGGAACAAAAAACCGGATCCGGGGGTAATCCACTTTTCTGAAGCTTTCGCGAAAAAATGATGAAAATGTAGCTGCGGCCTAGGCGCGGCGCAGAGGTCGCGCACCAGGGGTCCCAACAATAATTATTCTTAAGAAGAAATAATGTTCAACAACGAAACAAGCATAATCCTCACGACATATTCAAAATTCCGCCACGCACCCAGGGGCAGTGAATGACTGTTCGGCCCCCTCACCCTGATATAGGTGTAAGTAATGTGCGGGCCATCGCCCGAGGCCGGGGTGAAGGCGACCTCGTCGCCGACGAGTGCATGTTCGTCGTCCACGGCGACAGCTGCGCAGTTTGCAGTCTCCCGGGGACACCGCAAGATGAGGCAGGAGGAGAGGGGAGGAGGAGAGAAGGGTGTGCGACCGCAGGGCTCTATTCGAAGCGAGAACCCAACACAGGAGTGCGGGGAAAAAGAGAGAGAGAGAGAGAGAAAGAGCGAGGCCCGACCAAAATCCCGCCCCGCCCTCTGTCCCCATTTCGCCCCTATTTTGCGCGACGCGCCAGGGGCCTTGATGTGGCACTTCTGCTCGAGGGTGTCCAGCTCGCAGAGCCACAGCCTCGCAGACGCGCCCGCCCGCCCCCCCTTCTGCGACACCGCGGCGCACTCCAAGGCAACGGCGAGAGCGCACGGAAGATCCCCAGCGGGCGAGAGGAAGGCAGACAGGGGGGAGGGGGGCGAGGAGGGGGAGAGGGCAGCGTGGGCAGATCCACCCCCCCATCGGCGGTGGGCCCCGGGGCGAACCTGAGACATAAAGCACGCGGGTCCTGAGGGAAACGGGCCCTGGACCCCAGGGCCTTCCCACACCTTGCCCGAGGTCAGCTCTTCCTGTCAGCGTTTTCTGCTTCGGCGTTTCGATATTGAGCGAAGAGGCGTGGGAGGGGGGGGGTTCTGGCTCTGGACCACTGCTTAGTGCGACTGCTTGCGGGCAGTGCGTCCCATGAGGGGAGACTCCACCTGCTCGAAACGGGCGCCAAAAACAGCCAAGATCTACTCCATGGGGGGAGGGGAGGGGTGCGAGGGCCCGCGCCGATCGGCAAAACAACACTTTTTTTATATATATATATATAATATATATATATATATATATATATATATCACCATGTTTTGACAGTCCCCCGGGCCCGTGGAGGGCTCCCAGCGCCCGAGAACTGCAAGCAACATCCAGACCCGCTCCCCTGCGCAACCTCGCGCCCCCCTCGTCTTCGCCGCCGCCGCCCCCGCCGCCGCCGAGCACTGGCCGCGGCTCTGCGGACGCGCCCGCACGACGCCCTTCCCCCCCTCCCTCCCTCCCCCCCCCCTCGCTTCTCGGCGCCCTCGTTTTCGCCGCCGCCGCCGCCCCCACCGCCGCCAAGCAGGGGAGGATCAGTTAGCATCGGGTCGGGAAGTCAGACCGAGCCGAAATCTTCGTGGAATCTAGCTCCAACCGAATCCCACCAGCTCTCCGGGCGTGGGTGGTTTAACGAGTTTTGTCATCTATCCACCTCCTTTCCCTTCCCCAGGGGAGGAGTGTACCCCGTTCTCTACTCCATCCATTGGGCCTGGGAGGGGGTGGGGACCAGGTAGTTCGAGTTTCAAGATGGGCCCAAAATGGCTCCAAGAGAGCCCTTGGTAACCCAAGACAGCCTCCAAGATGTCTCACGATGACTGATGATGGTTCAATCTAGCCTCCTACATACCTCCAACAGGCCCCAAGAAAGCCCAAGACGGCTCCAAGCCTTCCTAGGCACCCTGCTCTCCTAGTCCTCCTTTTCCTCCTGTTCCTCCTCCTCCTCCTCTTCCTCCTCCTACCCCCGAGATGGTGTCAGGAGGTCGAGCATGGCTCAACATGACCTCCGACTTATCTCCAAGAGTCCTCAATACAGCCTCAAGATGGCCCAATATAAATGAGCATGGGTCAAGACAACCTCCGACAGCCTCTAACCGAGCATGACTCAATATAGCCTCCCAGAAGCCTCAAGAAAGCCTCCGATCGTGCCTGGATGGGCTGGTGGGAATACGCGAAGCGTCAAGAATTGGATCGGCTGCGCCAGGATGCGCTGAAGCGCCACGCGAGAACCAGGCCGCATCGGACTGCCCGATGATACGATTCGATGCGCGTCTGGCTGGCCAGTACCGACATCGAAGCGGATCGATCGGATCGACATGTGCCCCCAGCAGGGCCACGGCCTTGCGGACGCGTCCGACATGTCCACCGGCTCCGACCAAGTCAGGGGCAGCTCGCTCCCCGCCGGCGAGGCCGTGGACGGAAGCAAGCGGGGCGGGCCGCAGTGGCGCGTCCTGCCGCGCGGCCCCTGCTTCGCGTCGTCTTCACCGCCTCTCGTCCTCCTGTCCCCCCGTGTTCTGCCCTCCCCTGCCACACGAGTCCTCCTGCTCCTCCTGCTCCTCCTGCTCCTCTGCCTCCACATCCTCATCGCCATCACCATCACAATCACCATCAGCATCGTCATCAACATCATTACCACCATTCTTCTCCTCATCAGCACTACCATCATAATTATCATCACCATTCTCATCAGCATCATCCGCATCATCACCACCATCAGCATCATCAGCATCAAAAGCAGCAGCATCATCAGCAACATCGGCATCGTCATCAACATCAGGAGCAGCATCAGCATCATCATCATCATGTTCCTCGGTTTTAGGATCAAGCTGCTTCGAATATTCGGAACAACGGAAAATAATGAGATCCGTCGCAGAGAGCACAATGCTGTCGTACTGTCCCGCAGGGCCAAGTCTGCCGCGGGTGCTGCTCAGGGAGGCGTCCTGCGCAGCGCTAGCCAGGCGACAGAGAGGCTTCGGATCAACTGGGCACAGACACGGTGCGGCCCTGAAAAAGGTGACAGTAACTGCACAGCGTCCTCGGGAAGCACAGGCTGGGGAACATACGCTGAAACCAGATACTGAAGCACAAACTGAAGCGTACTCTGAGGCACAACCGAGTAGCAGCAGCGTGATCCTTGCGAAGACGTTGAAAGAAACTCGCAGGTGCATCCTGAAGCACAGTCTGAAGAGCCGACTCAGCTCAGCTCAAACCATGCATTCTTCGCAGTGGCCTGGGCGCCGCAGCTCGATGAAAGTCAGTGCAACCCGCTGGATGGCACGCATGTTGTCCAAGGTGTTCCAGTACGGATGATCTGCCGAGGCGGTCCAGGCGTGCTCGATGACGTGCGCCACGCTGTCCGCAAGCGTAATGGTCTGGACGAAGTTCTCGTGGTTGCGGACGCCAGCCCAAAGGCTGTGCGCGATGCTGATTGGGACAGCGCTTCGCATCACCGCGTCGGAGAAGGAGAGCTTTGTCTCGCGGAGGGCGGTGTGGAACGCCTCGAAAGCCGGTCTGCATAGCTCCGCGCATGACGCGTAGGGCATGAAGAGCTTGGCAAGCTTCGTGAAGGGCTTGTTCTTGAACTGGACGTGCTTAAAGGCCTCGAAAAAAGGGCCGTAGCCGCGATGCTTCGAGCGCTGCGGTGCGCGAGTGCCTGTCCTCGACGTCCTCAGCTTAGTGCTTCGTCACCCCGCGGCGGCGTGGCTGGCCACTTTTCGGGTGTGCTGCAACTGCATGGGCAAGGTGCTGACGTCGGCGGGCGCGCCAGCAGGGCCGGCACGTCGCGGGCCCGCGAGGTCAAATCCTGGCGGCTGGCCCAAGGCGGCGCCCCAGCGCAGAAGTCGTAGTGCTCGACGGCGACGGTGTCGTTGAGCGCGAGAGCGCCGCACGGGCGGGGCGCCGCTGGCACGATCGTGCGTCATCGTCTCCATTGCCGTAAGAGTCCGCGTCTCCTCAAGTGCACGGCCGGTGCGGGGCGCCCGCGCGCTGGCGCACAGCCACGACGACGTGGCGGGGTGCGGGGTGTCTTCGGGCCCTCAGCCTCTGGGGCCTGGCGGGGAGGGCGCTGCAGAGAGGTCGCTGCTCCTGGGAGGGCCTGAGCCGTGGCGACCTTCATCATCATCATCATCATCATCATCATCATCAGCAGCAGCAGCAGCAGCAGCATCATCATCATCATCATCAGCATTATCATCATCATCATCATCATGATCATCATCAGCATGATCATCATCAGCATCCTCATCATAATCATAATCATCCCCATCATCACCATAATCAGCATCATCACCACCAGCATCAGCATCGTCATCATCATCACCATCATCAGCATCATCTGCAGCATCATCACTACCATCGTCATCATCAGCATCATCATCATCGACATCATCAGCATCAGCATCATCAGCAACATCAGCATCGGTCAGCATTATCATTATCAGCATCATCACCATCATAATCGGCATCATCATCGTTATCACCATCACACCATCATATCATCAAGATCATCCTCGCATCTCTCCGTCTATCCTCCCTGTCATCCCCAGTGTCGTTCCTCCTCCTCCCCCTCCTCCTCCTCCTGCTTCTCCTCCTCCTCCTGCTCATTCATTTCTGCCTCTCCTCCTCCTCCTCCTTCCTTCTTTCCTTCCTTCCGTCCGTCGCGTGTTTCTGGCCGTCACACGCTCGATTTAGCCGCGCGCCCCCCCCCCTGCCCGGTCGGTCCTCTTTCTCGCTCCTCGCTCCTCGCTCCTCTTCTGTCCGCCACCTCTCTTCTCAGTCCTCGCTTCTCATCCTTTTCCTCCTCCTCCTCCTCCCCCTCCTCCTCCTCCTCCTCCTCCTCCTACTCCCTCACCTCCTCCGCCTCCTCCTCCTCCTCTTCCTCCTACCTCCTCCTACTTGATGAAGGTGTGGGGGGGGGGTGCCAGATGGCGATTGGGAAGGGGGCTCAGCGAGGAGGAAAGGTAATGACGAGAACGACGAGGAAAAACACGGACGAGGGATGCGAGGATGAGGATGACACGGCCTCCTCCGCGATCCTAGAGATGTGAGGCCTGAAGTGTTTGAGCGTCTGGGACGTTATGCGTCTGGAGGGCTCTGGAGGCGATTCTCAAACAACAAGGAAGAGCACATCGGAGGATGCCCCACGAAATATGGAGGAGTAGGGTTGAAGGGAGAGAGGCGCAGGGAGCACGGAGGAGGAAACAGGAACCTCAGGAAAAGAAGGCCCAGGCTGATAAGAACGAGGAATGGTAATGAATAAAGGTGGAAGTGGACGGAGGAGGGGGTCCAAGCGTGGAGAGAGATCAATGGAGTGACGAGGGGAGACAGACAGAGAGAGAGAGAGAGATAAAGCAAACCAAGTAAAGAGAAACGCAGGTTTATATGTACATACATTCATGTCTATGTACATACAGATCTGTATGTGTTTATATGGCGGGTGCCAGAAACCCTGAACCCTCAAACATTCCCATGGCTTGGGGGTGCATGTCTTACTCCCGACGGCCCTCCGCCGGCCTTCCGCCAGTAAGACTAGCTTCGTGTTGTTTCCGACGCCTTCCCCCGAGGAAGAGATGGCAACTCCTCCGACCCTCGAAGGCGAGGCCCTTTTCGAAACGCCTCGTGTGCACATGTCGTCGAGCCGGTTGCTCTCGATGCGCCCAGGTGGACGACGCCGACACCACGGCGCACCCCACGGCGAACCTTGCGCCTCGGGCGGAGTTTGCCCTGGTGGCCGAGGCGCCGAAGCGCCCTCACAAGAGTCCGAGGCGCCGAAACAAGCAAGCCGCCTGGGGCATCGCCGCAGTCTGAGCGCGAATCATGGAGTGTTCCACCCCTGGCCGCTCACCCTTCGGGTGCTGAAATGCCAAGCCTGCTATATCAGAGTTGGCGTTGGAGAACAAACAGAGAAAGCGAGTCTGAGTGTGGGTGAGCCTGCGTGTGAGTGAGTCTGAGGGGGGGTACGCATGTGAGTATGTGAGTGACTCTGAGTATGACTGAGACTGAGTGTGAGTAAATCTGAGTATGAGTAGGAAGTCTGAGTGTTACTGAATCGGAGTGTGGATGAGAATCCGTCTGAGCGAGTCCGTGTGAGCCTGCAAATATGTGTGAGTGAGTCTGGGTATGTGTAATCTGAGTGCGAGTGTCTCTGTGCACGAGTGGGTCTGAGCGCGATTGCGTCATAGTGGGAACGAGTCCGCGTATGAGTGCGTCTGAGTGTGAGTGAGTGACAAAGAGGCGGGGGAGAGTGAGGCGGAGACGTCCCGGCAACAACAAGAACCCCATCTCAGGAAACGGGGAGAACCCACATATGGGGTCTCGGGGCACCGGCGGGGGCACCGCACAGCCAGGCGGCCGTCGCCGGTGACGGCAGCCCAGCGGCCGCGACCGGGCGCTGCCGGAGTCCTGACGGTCCCCGCCGCCGCTGGGTTGCGATCGCCGCTCACGCCGAGCACCTGGGGAACGGAGGAGGAGGACGAGGAGGAGGAGGAGGAGGAGGCGGGGAAGGAGGAGGAGAAGGAGGACGACGAGGAGGAGGGGGGGGGAAACGGAGGAGAAGCAGGAGGAGGGGGGGGAGGAGGAGGAAGAGCAAAATCATGTCTTTCTCACGACCCTGGCATGATCAGAAGGTTGCCGGCTTGGGGGGTGGGGAGGGGGGCGAAGGCGCACGACAGGACCATATAAGCTCACAGAAGTTCCATGGACAGAGCATGCACGTGTAAAAGAAAGCGAGACCGTGTCAGGGAAAGAGAGATGGCAGTTGAACTCAAAGATGACGACGCCGTACAGGGCCCAAGTAGAACACGACGACAGTTGTTCGAAGACCGTATCAAAAACTGCCGACGAAGGCGGCAGACGGCTGAATAGCGCGCTATGTCGGCCCAGGAGAATATGAAGATAGCCCAAGAGGGCAACAGGAGGCCCCCAAGAAGGCCTCAAAGGCATGAAGTGAGCCCCGATGTAGCCCTAAGCTGGCCCCGAAGGTGCACTCCCCGGTGGCTCCTCAGTGGTTTCCACAACAGCTGTGGGAGCACGCAGCCCACAGGCGTGGCCGCACTTTCGCTCGTCGTTCCACGGCGTAGGCGTTTCCAAAAGGAATGGGTCGGTGGTGACTCGTTGCAGGCGCCTTCTATAGGGGCATGAGACAGAAAACATAGCATGCGAGGATATGTAAGCGACGTGACAAAGAAACCGCAGAGAGCATATCACCAGGCACAGCAACACATAACTACATTCAGCCTGAGATCAAGCGGCTACATAAAGAGAACACCGCCAGAGTTTCGGAGAAACCAGCTTCACCCAAATGCACAGCACCCCATGTCATAGACCCAGCTGGGTATGAATGTGTGACCCCATCCGGCCCGCCCTGAACGAAGGATTGCAAAAAAAACGAAGGATTGCAAAAAAAAACCGAAGGATTGCAAAAAAAAACCGCTTGAACGAAGGATTGCAAAAAAAAACCACGAGAACGGTGGTTTTTTTTTGCAATCCTTGCTTATGCCGCCAGAACGGACCAATCAACTCAGGGCGCGGGGGGCTACGGCGAGGTGTCTTGTGTCATCGCGAGGGCTGGGGCCGCACGTGCGAGAGCCGTCGCCGCGACCACGGCGACAGAGAGCAGCAGCGACGGTAATTAGGCCGTGGTGGCGAGCAGAGCGGCGGTGGCAGACCCTCTGAGCATGGTTTAACGAAGGGTTGCAAAAAAACCCTTCGACGAAGGGTTTTTTTGCAACCCTTCGATCCCGATCCACACTGGCGTGACCTGGGCCCCACTGGCCGGTTTACCCCCCTAGATAAGGATAGTGGCTGCTCCCTCCAGGCTTCCAGGTGCCTAACCCGGAGAAGCAATTAAGGACCCCCCCGGCGTTATCATTAGCACCGCGCCGTAATTAAATAATTATTTTTGGGGGGGTTCGCCGAGCGATATTATTAGCACCGCGCAAATGGAAGGAAAATAAATAATTCCAGCGCCCCGCCTCGGGTGGCATCCCAATTAGAATTGTAATGATAATAACAATACGAATGCGATCTGGTGTACCCCCTCCTGGTGCCAGGATAACGCTTCCGGGTGCCGGGTGCGGCATCCTTTCACCGGAGAGGGGGGGGGGGGGTTCCTTAATCGCTTACTCGGGTTAACCGATCCCGATCCACACTGGCGTGACCTGGGCCCCACTGGCCGATTTACCCCCCTAGATAAGGATAGTGGCTGCTCCCTCCGGGCTTCCAGGTGCCTAACCCGGAGAAGCAATTAAGGACCCCCCCGGCGTTATCATTAGCATCGCGCCGTAATTAAATAATTATTTCTGGGGGGGTTCGCCGAGCGATATTATTAGCACCGCGCAAATGGAAGGAAAATAAATAATTCCAGCGCCCCGCCTCGGGTGGCATCCCAATTAGAATTGTAATGATAATAACAATACGAATACGATCTGGTGTACCCCCTCCTGGTGCCAGGATAACGCTTCCGGGTGCCGGGTGCGGCATCCTTTCACCGGAGAGGGGGGGGGGGGGTTCCTTAATCGCTTACTCGGGTTAACCGATCCCGATCCACACTGGCGTGACCTGGGCCCCACTGGCCGATTTACCCCCCTAGATAAGGATAGTGGCTGCTCCCTCCGGGCTTCCAGGTGCCTAACCCGGAGAAGCAATTAAGGACCCCCCCGGCGTTATCATTAGCATCGCGCCGTAATTAAATAATTATTTCTGGGGGGGTTCGCCGAGCGATATTATTAGCACCGCGCAAATGGAAGGAAAATAAATAATTCCAGCGCCCCGCCTCGGGTGGCATCCCAATTAGAATTGTAATGATAATAACAATACGAATACGATCTGGTGTACCCCCTCCTGGTGCCAGGATAACGCTTCCGGGTGCCGGGTGCGGCATCCTTTCACCGGAGAGGGGGGGGGGGGGTTCCTTAATCGCTTACTCGGGTTAACCGATCCCGATCCACACTGGCGTGACCTGGGCCCCACTGGCCGGTTTACTCCCCTAGATAAGGATAGTGGCTGCTCCCTCCAGGCTTCCAGGTGCCTAGCCCAGAGAAGCAATTAAGGACCCCCCCGGCGTTATCATTAGCACCGCGCCGTAATTAAATAATTATTTTTGGGGGGGTTCGCCGAGCGATATTATTAGCACCGCGCAAATGGAAGGAAAATAAATAATTCCAGCGCCCCGCCTCGGGTGGCATCCCAATTAGAATTGTAATGATAATAACAATACGAATACGATCTGGTGTACCCCCTCCTGGTGCCAGGATAACGCTTCCGGGTGCCGGGTGCGGCATCCTTTCACCGGAGAGGGGGGGGGGGGTTCCTTAATCGCTTACTCGGTTTAACCGATCCCGATCCACACTGGCGTGACCTGGGCCCCACTGGCCAATTTACCCCCCTAGATAAGGATAGTGGCTGCTCCCTCCGGGCTTCCAGGGGCCTATCCCCAACTGGGGTGGTGGGATGGTGGGGCTGGGATACCATGGACCGGTGGGGATGAGGCTGGGTTGACCGACACTGTGATGCGTTTCCTAAAGGGACGCCAGCGACAGGCACTTCTGAGACCGCGGCGTTGCATGTCAAACTTCGAAGAGCGAGTGAAAGCGTCCCGCGATGACCTTGCGGGCGA